CACAGATCCTGTTGTAATTGCATTAACCACCCCAATCACCGCCCAAAGACCCCGTCAGACAGTCTTTTTTCAGGGTAAGCCTTTTGAGGGCATAATTGATACAGGGGCTGATGTTTCAGTAATTTCAGCTAAAGATTGGCCTGCATCTTGGCCCACTGACCCATGCCCTAGTGTCTGGGTGTAGGAGGGCGACAAGGTGCACGACAAAGTACACAATTTCTTTCTGCAAGTCTTCCTAATTCTACTGTAACTGTTCAACTTCGTCCTTTCATTCTTGACATTCATGTCAACCTTTGGGGACGAGACTTGCTTAGTAAATGGGGGGCTACCATCACCTTCGATGAATAAACTGTCTGCCTTACCCTTAACTTGGTTAACTACTACCCCTGTTTGGGTGGAACAATGGCCTCTTCCTCTGTACAAATTACAGGCCTTAAAAATTCTTGTTCAAGAACAATTACAAGCCAAACACATTGCCCCTTCCACTAGTCCATGGAATACTCCAGTTTTTGTTATCAAAAATAAGTAGTGAGAAGTTTGTAACAAATTTTTTTCCTGTCTCTTTTGTTTTTCAACTGGCTGTGTTGCTTTAAGAGCAAGAGAGACCAAAAGAAAGAAGGAAGGGGGGGGGGAACTGTTCGTTTTAAACTTTTTTTTCCTTCTCTGCTTAGAATTCCAGTTTGCGAATAAAGATGAAATTTAATCCCCGCTCTTGCAGTTTCAGCTAGTAAAACTTAAGTTTTGTAAATGTTTAACCTACTTAATAGAAATCTGTTTCCATCTTTGATTAACTTGGAATTTAACTTATTGACCAAAGGAAAACAACATAGGAATTGTCACTTAACACTTTTGATATTTCTTACTAGTAAAATACTTACAGGAGTATTAGCTGTGTTAGAAGCGCAAAAAGTATATTGTATTGAATGGCTTTACTTATCCCATCCCAAAATGTGTTATCTTTTATCCAGGCTGTTGCTGAAATAACCTCAGGACACAATCGAGCTTGTCCTTGAAATGGGACTGATTTAATTAATATTGTTCTTTCTATCCCAAAATTTGATTTTCAATTTTATTTTCAGAATAACTTATCTGTTTTGCTGCTATTTTAGCTTTCCACACCTTTTCTCAACAGACTTTTAACTTAATCTCTGACTCTCATTATGTGTGCCAACTTATTTTTAATTTTCCAGGTGCTTATATCATGCCCAGGATCAACCCCAATCTAATGGCTTTGTTTTTAACTTTACAGCAGCTATCCTTTGTTTCTCACATATGTATCGGTCCTTTAAGGACTGCCTTCACAAACAAATAAAAAAGGAGGGATCAAGGGTACCTAATTTGGCATGGATAACTCGTCAAGTCAATAAAGTCTTAATAACTTTAAACCAGCTAAATATTTCTTTTCAAAACACTACTGCCCACCAGCGTCACTTTCAACAGAAAGCCGGAAATGAAGCAGGTGACTCTTCAGACAGCACAACGTCCCTTTCGCTCTCGCCATCGCAGTCGGCCAACGACCTGGGGCGATGTGAAAAACCTAACATCCAAAGCACAGAAGGTTCTGAGGCAACAGGGAAAAGAACCCACACCAGAGAATTTATGCGCTGCCATATTTGCGGTTTTGACTGCAAATTCCTTAGTCATTCTTTGCCTTTCTTTACTTCTTAATTGCTGTGTGGGGGCTCAAGCCCTCCCATCTCATCCTTTAGAATCACGGATGAAATATAGTATTTGGGTGCAATTAGCTAATGTAACACAATTGAGAGACTTTTGTATTTCTGAATCATATCACATGGAAAATCTACTCTCTACCTGTCTTATACCTGTGTGTGTCCCAGCTTCAGTTTAATGTGTTGTTTTAATCTTTCTGATCAATCTGGCGTTATTCAAAAGCAAATTAATGTTTTACATAACTTGACTTCTGATTTAAAAATTGATACCTTAGAAAATTGGTGGAGTGCTCTATGGTCATGGCTTCCCATTGGCCTTCTTGGAAAAATTGTTCAATATCTCATTATAATAGTTGCTATCCTTATCAGCTGTTGTTGTTTATTTCAATGTCTTTTCTCTTTACTTAATAAGATGTCTTGCAATCTTCCATACTAAACTAAGACCCACTAACTACTCCAGCTTAGGATGATGTCTTCAGTAATAAAATAAAGAAGAGTGAGATGTGGGGAAAACTGCATGCGCAGCAAACTGCCATGCTTCCCCCCCCCCCACAAACCTCATAACCTTTTGATACCCTTTGTCCTAATGAAGCAGCCAGAAGGTCACCCCCTTTTGACTTAATACCTACTTAAATAAATAATACGCTTAAGTTCCCCCTTATCTCTTCCTGTCTTTGTAAGTTCTTTCTCCTTTTGATCTACCTGTATTTGTTTTTACCTGGTCTCTGAACAGGTAATATGTTACTAGAAAATAGTTGCTTATATGAAGGAATTTTCCAATGAAGAAACTTTATGTCAGCATCTAAAGGTTAAACTTATGAATGTAAAATGTCAGCATTTAATGGTAAAGCCTATGTATGTAAAATTATATAAAAATCAATAAACATAGAGAGACTCTCAAACTGTCTCAAGCTGTGACAAACAGTTCTGCAGCAGCTTCAAATCTCTGCTCAAGACATGCCTGAGTCTTTTTCTTAGCATCATTACATTTCTTGAATTGTTTTCCCCTTGAGGATTCTCATCCATGGAATCCTTCCCAAGCTCTCTTTAAATTTATTGAAATTAGCTCTCTTAAAGTCCAAGACTCTAGTTTGACTATTTGACTATTCTATTGCTTGTGCTTCCATAATATTGAATTCCAATATTGGATGATCACTTCCCCCCAAGAGACTTCAAAGATACTAGACAATCACCTGTCGGAGATGGTATAGGTTCTTCTGCTAGAGCAGGGGGCTGGACTAGAAGACCTCTTAGGTCCCTTCTAGCTCTATTCTATTCAGACTGCTGATTAGTACATTCAATTTACCTCTAAGAAAGAATTTTGACTATAATAATATACCTTACATGTACATATCATATTCCTGTTTGTCATATTTCTATTAAGTAGCTTGCATTGATACATATTGTGGCATATGGTTGTTCTTAATACAGTATCAACTATGCTCAGAGTTAGTTGTGCGTTAATTGTGTTTAAAATAGCCTTGATAAGGTTAATAACTATTTTTCTGTGTGTGAATAAAGAATAGAATGAAGGCCATCGAGTGCAAAGTGTAAACACTGGCAAGTGAATTATAACTCTTTTATAGCAGCTTATGTCTAATCCTTCTGTTATCTAGAACAGTATTTCTGCTATCCTACAAAGAAATATCTTATATTACTTCCAGGCAAACTAGGCCAGATACTGCCAAAGCAAATAGCCACATTGCCATGACACTCTGAATTGGTTTCATTTGTGAAAAACTCAGATGCCTCAGGATAAACTAATCGCTTCCTGCAAGTGAAGGAAACAAACATTTTTGCAGTCACTTCATATTCATTAGCTTCTTACAAAAGAAATAAGCCAAAAGAGACCCAGTAATAACACAAGTAACACTGTCAGTACTATGCTGAGCCTTCTCCAGTATGATTCTTCCAAATCTGTTAAACTTCCATAATTCTCAGCCAACATGGTAAGCACAGATGGGAAGGGCAGTCTTTAATTAATAAATTATATTAATACACTTCATAGATTTTTTTCTAGGACCATCTGTTCTCAATGTGGTCCTCCAAATCTTCAATTGTGCACCAATTGCTACTAAAGTCCCTCAATCTTGATTCTGGTTCTCCTTTTCTCTCTCATCTTTCCTATCTTTGTAGATTTCTCAAAGAGCTAGGTCTTTGCATGATGCCTCTAAAACAGATATGTCAAACTCATGTCACATGATGTTGCACAACATATCGGAGCTTTTTCCCCATTGCCAGCAATGGGGTGGATGCAGTTTCCTGGTGATGCATCTGGCCCGTGGGCCAACAATTTGACATCCCTGATCTAAAATATGATAATTTGCACCTGGTTATACCTTAAATGAGTAGATTGATCTTTTCTATAATCTATGTTTATTTTCTTGGCTAGCTGTGATTTTCTTAAGCGTTTTCTTTAACAGCAAAGTTCAAAAGCATCAATATTTTTTCTATATTGTTTCAAAATCCAATTTTCACTTCCATAATGGTGCAGAGAAAGCCATTGCATGATTTTGTTCTTTGTAGATATAGACATATTATGACATATGAATAGTCAGTTTGATTTAGTGGTTAAGGCAATAGGCTAGAAAGTGGGAAACCCTCCTACCTTAGCCATGAAAGCCAGCTGGGTGACCTTGTCCTAGTCACCTTGACTTAGTCACTTTCTCTCAGCCCAGCTCAGGGTTGTTGTGGGGAAAATAGGAAGAGGAAGATGTATTGGATAGGTTCACTGCTTTGAGTTTTTTGTGAAAATAATAAAGGGGGGATACAAATTAATATCTTTTCTAAGGCCTTCATTGCTACCCTACACTGCTTATCAATCTAATAAACAGCTTTGTGGCATTTCTGTGTGGCAAGATTAACATATTACTGCATATGCTTTGATTGACTACCATCTACTTCATCAACTGAGTTCCTATATATAATATATATTTCTGATGGGAATTGCAGTAAATACTGGAACTAAAATACACAAAAGTAATATAAAAATTATCTTTGCCTTAATAGTGACTGCTGAACTCGGTAAACAGTTCTTGAGTGATAACACAATCATCCTTACATTGGGAAGACAGTTAACCCGATTTAGATACCCTTCACACCGACTGACGAGGAGAAGAACGTTTTTTTCCCCGCACTAGACAACTTTTTCACATCAAGTTATGATTAACGAAAAAAATCACGAGACAACAGCAAGGCATTCTAGGAAACATTCATTTCAGTTTCCATTCTCATAGAAGCGCTAATGTTTTTGAAACGGAAATACTACATTTCCCAGTCGTCTTTGTTGAAAAACATTCTCTCTCTCTCTCTCTCTCTCTCTCTCTCTCCCCTCTCTCGAGTTTTTCCTGTACGGTGTTGCATGCCGGTAGTAGTAGTTTCCAACTACCCCCATTCGATACCACGCCGCTTGGTTTCCTTGGAAAAGAAAACTACAATTCCAATCTGCCTTAGCCGGTTGCGCTTGCGCCGTCTGCATGGAAGGAGGGAGGGGAAAGGCCGTTACGTCGTGGGCAACGGCCACGGTAGTGAAGAGGCAGTAAGCGGTAGTACCGGAGGTTTACGTGTTCGCTGCTGGATTTGACTCGAGTAATAAGAAGAGGGCGAGTTTTGTCAGGTTCTGTGCGTTCTGGTGGAAAAGCGGGGATGAAGCTGTGAGGGAGCCTGTACCGAAAGAAGTGAAAAAAGAGACCCACCGCAGGCAGGCAAAGGAGGAGGAAGCGCGAAGCGATGTCTCAGCCGCCTCAGCAGGAGCAGCAGCCGGTGGCAACGCTGGTCCCGAAGAAGAAGGACCGGCGTATCTTCTCGGGCACTTGTCCTGACCCCAAGTGTCAGGCGCGCCTGTTTTTTCCGGCGCACGGGCCTCTAAGCAGCGGGAGCATCGAGTGCACGGACTGTGGGCAGCGTCATGAACAGCGGCAGCTGCTGGCAGTGGAGGAGGTGACTGATCCAGACTTGGTGCTGCACAATTTGCTGCGGAACGCATTGCTAGGAGTAAGTGGGGCGGGGCCCCCTAGAAAGAACACCGAGCTGGTGAAAGTTATGGGCCTGTCAAATTATCACTGCAAGCTGCTGTCTCCCATTCTAGCCCGCTATGGCATGGATAAACAGACGGGCAAAGCTAAACTACTAACTGAGATGAACCAAGGAGATGTTTTTGACTGTGCTCTTCTTGGGGACCGTGCCTTTCTTATTGAGCCTGAGCACGTTGACACTGTAGGATATGGCAAAGATCGCTCTGGTAGTCTCCTGTACTTGCAGGACACCTTGGAGGATATTAAGAAGGCTAATAATAGCCAGGAGTGCCTCATCCCAGTCCATGTGGATGGTGATGGCCATTGTTTAGTCCATGCAATTTCCCGAGCACTGGTGGGTAGGGAACTCTTCTGGCATGCTTTGCGGGAAAACCTGAAGAAGCACTTTATGGAGAATCTCAGCCGCTATAAAGCCCTTTTTCATGACTTTATTGATGCCGCAGAATGGGAAGACATAATCAATGAATGTGATCCTTTATTTATTCCTCCTGAGGGTGTACCAATGGGCCTTCGAAACATCCACATTTTTGGACTAGCCAATGTTTTACATCGACCCATCATCCTCTTGGATTCCTTGAGTGGAATGCGTAGTTCAGGGGATTATTCTGCCACATTCCTTCCTGGATTGATACCAGAAGAAAAATGCATGGGGAAAGATGGCATGCTGAACAAACCAATCTGTATTGCCTGGAGTAGTTCTGGGCGTAATCATTATATTCCTCTGGTTGGAATAAAAGGTGCTGCTTTGCCTAAATTGCCTATGAAATTACTTCCCAAAGCTTGGGGAGTGCCTCAAGACCTTATTAAAAAGTATATCAAATTGGAAGATGATGGTAGCTGTGTGATTGGAGGAGACAGAAGTTTGCATGACAAATACTTGATGAGGCTAGTTGCAGCCATGGAGGAAGTTTTTATGGATAAGCATGGCATTCATCCCAGTTTAGTAGCTGATGTACATCAGTACTTCTATCGGCGGACTGGTGTAATAGGAGTTCAGCCTGAAGATGTTACAGCAGCTGCTAAAAAGGCAGTTATGGACAACCGACTTCACAAGTGTCTCATTTGTTGTGCTCTTTCAGAACTCCATGTTCCTCCAGAGTGGCTAGCTCCAGGAGGGAAGCTGTATAATCTTGCAAAAAGTACCCATGGTCAGTTAAGACCTGATAAAAATTACAGTTTTCCTCTGAACAGTTTGGTATGTTCCTATAATCCTGTAAAGGATGTACTAGTACCAGACTACAGTTTGAGTAGTCTGACTGCCTGTAACTGGTGTCATGGCACATTGGTGCGTCGTGTGAGAAGTGATGGTTCTGTTGTATATTTGGATGGGGACAGAACTAATACTAGATCAACAGGTGGCAAATGTGGTTGTGGATTCAAACATTATTGGGAAGGTAAAGAATATGACAATCTTCCTGAAGCTTTCCCTATTACTTTAGAGTGGGGTGGGAGAGTGGTAAGGGAGACAGTGTATTGGTTCCAGTATGAAAGTGATCCATCTCTGAATAGCAATGTATATGATGTTGCAATGAAGCTCGTTACTAAGCACTTTCCTGGAGAATTTGGTAGTGAGATTCTTGTCCAGAAAGTTGTGAATACAATTTTACATCAAACAGCCAAAAAGAACCCTGATGATTACACTCCTGTAAACATTGATAGTGCTCATGCCCGAAGAGCTGATGATATGCAACAAGGACAAGATTTGGCCTCTCAGCTTCCAACCAAAATTATTCTTACTGGGCAGAAAACAAAAACACTGCACAAAGAAGAATTGAATATGAGTAAAACTGAAAGAACTATTCAACAAAACATTGCAGAACAGGCACCTATAATGCAAAAACGAAAAACTGAAAAATGGAAGCAAGTACAAAAAGGGCCAGTTAGAACTGTGTCTCCTGGTACCATTCCTGATGGGTCATCCTCTGCACCTGCTACTCCCACCAAGACTCCTTATTCTCCAATATCTACGAAAGAAAAGAAAATTCGCATAACAACAAACGATGGGCGACAGACCATGCTCACTTTGAAATCCACTACAACATTTCTAGAATTGCAAGAAAGCATAGCTAGAGAATTTAATATTCCTCCACATTTGCAATGTATTCGTTTTGGCTTTCCTCCCAAGGAGCTACTGCCACCTAAGGAAGGGCAAGAAAATGAACCTGTTCCTCTGCTACATGGAGATAGAATAACTATAGAGATTCTTAAAGGGAAGGAAGATAGTCACCAGGCTAGTTCAGTACACTCGGCTCATGTCGTGAAGCATGATGATATTGCTGTTACTAGCAGAATTTCTTCCAAGGAACTTCAAGAGCAGATAGACAAGGAAATGTACTCTTTGTGTCTTCTTGCAACATTTATGGGTAAGGCAATACTAATCTCCTCCTCTGAGGTATAAAAATATTTGTACAGCTAGAAATGTACAGTGTCCAGATAAGTTCTTTAGTAATAATTAAAACATTTCTTTCCTGGCTTTTAGCAGACTGATCGCTGTAGGTTAGGAGCATTTTAATATTATGTAATGTGGCAATCCTGTATTGATTGAATTCATTGAAATAATTCTGTTTAGAGAAGGATTGTGCCTTAAAGAAACTTTGAAAAGCTATTAATTGCAAATTTAGACAAAAACCCCTATTTTATTTAACTTTTTTTGGAATGCTATTTTTGAAGCACTGATATAATGCTCGTAAATGTGAGGTGTTGAAATAGTTTCAGATATATTTAGCACACATTTTATCTCAGTTTATTTAAAGTATAATATTAATGTTTGTTGTTTATACTTTTTTCATAGGGAATTATTCCATGGGGAATTAGTGTTCTTAAAATATGCATTTAAATCTGAAAATTACTCTAAATTTATATTCACAAAGTTGATGTATTAACATAACTTATTTATTGTATTAAGCATTATCTGCTATTTGGCCAAATCTAAGAATTATGTTTTAGGACACTTTTCACTTAATTGGTGATAACAGATTGTTTTGCAGCTCTTATAACTGGTTACAGGCTGCGTGACATAGAAAGCTGATTGATATATATGTCTTAAACATTATATTACTGCAATTAAAAAAAAATATTTTGGTTGATAGAATGGCCTCAAGTTTCCAGAAAATCCTCCAAGAATGTATTTCCTTTTATTACCCCCCTTGTTCTTTAATTTGAAATGGACTTTCCAATCCAGGCAATATAAATAAAGAAGTGCATTTTTTTTTAAGTGAAGCTTCATTGTGTAATCTTATGAATTGAAAGCTTAACAATATGTCTTGTATGAGAGAGAAGCAATTTTATTCTTTCAAGTGAAATCATGTTTTCAATGACCCGTACGACTGAGAATCTCCATAGACATATTTTCAATAAAAATTCAGTCCTTTTCCTGGAATCATCTTTTCCTCTTGAACGCAAGTTGAAAAGATGTAAGGAAGAGAAAGTTGCTTGCTTGCTTGTTTGTTTATTCATTCAGTTTCTATAGCTGTCCATCTCAGCCAATGACTGTGGGGCGGCTTACAATTCAAAAAATATATTACAATTAAAAATACTAAAAACCTTTTAAAACAATAAAAACATTCAGATTAAATATACCTAGGAGTAAGATACTTGGACAGTTAGCAATACAGCCTTGTAATGGAGCCCTTAACACACTCAGCATCTCAGGCAGAGGAACAGAGCCAGGTTTGAGTGCCTTACAAAAATCTAATGGGGTTGGGGCCATTCTAATCTCTGAAGGGAGGATATTCCATAGAGCAGGGACATTGCAGAAAAAGTTTGTCTCTAATCCTTGCCAGCTGACACTCTTTGGGCTCTGTAGCATGCCCATTCTGTTTGATCTAATTGGAAGATAAATAAGTGTGCATCTAATACATGTGTGGCTGTATGCATGTGACTATGTGAAAAGTGAATGTACTATGATAGTCTTTTTCCAACCTGATTTACTACTGTCAGAATTGGAAATCTTTATAATAATTATCTGTGTTGGGTCCAGCACATCTGGAGACATCAGGCTAGTATGTTATACTGAATGATATATTTTGGGGTGGCCTGACTCAAAACATTACAAATGATAGTGTAAGTAAAGACCTTGTACAAAATTCAATTTTGTACGATCTGTCTATTCTTTATTTATGAACAGGATTTATTATTCTTATTATTCTTTACTTAAACTAACAATATTGACCAGTTATATCTAAATTTGGGATTATTATAATTGGATTATTACTATCATGTTATCAAACCATTATTTAGTTAACTAGTTTCAAGTAATGCTAATTTATTAAAGTTTGGACAAAACAGGAAATTATTCAAAAGCAGAAACTAAATGTCTCTCTATGCCTCAACTAAGAAACAGGCAAGTGAGAGTCTAAGTTTGAAATAAAAACAGGCGTGCTGACACTTCTGATTACTTCTGAACTGTGTGCATTGTGTTAACTAATTGCATACAAGATGCTGTTAAGTTACTTAAACATGAGTTTTAAGACTTGGAGGAAGGCTTGGCAATGATTTTTTTAAAGTGAAATATCATTGTGCCACAGAAATAGCAAGTCATGCCCTTGATCTGGTTTTCATTACAGATTGGATTGGGAATAACCTAGTAATGGAAGGAATTAGTGTGACCTTTTTATCAGGGGTTATTTCCTGGATTAATCATAAGTATCTCTTATAAATGTGAAAGTGTTCCATATGTATCTGAAAAAGACTATAAGAGTTCATCTTAGATTGAGACTGTATGTAATATGGAGACAGGAAAATAACTTCTGTTTAATATTTTTGGAGGAATTCAAATTCAGAATCATATTCCTTTCAAGTAAAGATGGTATTAAAATGATTCATCTCCAGATGTTTATACAATCTGACAGATTCTTGAATTGCCTGACATTGTAGGAGGAGAGTCTATAGTTAGTCCTTCATCAGCTGTGAAAGCTTATGCCTTTTAACAAAACTTGTTAGTTAAATTGCCTGGGATATTTTTCAACTGGTAAAGCTTTGTTTCCTGTGAATAGTCTAAACTTATTGTGATATGTTAAGTAATCCTGAAGGCAGTTTCAAGCATAGATTCTAACTAGAGAAAGATGGAGTTTTTTGGCTATAGCCATAGACCTTCAGATGGTGTAGAATGGCAATAATTTGAAAACAAAGATATGGTTTGGTTTTAAAACACTGTTAGAAGATAATAATCTTACTTATATGTGATACAGGACAAATGCTTATTCTAGTACAATCAATTTTGCTTTATTTTTTAAAAAAACTATTTTTCTGAAAAAATATTATTGTTTAGCTCTTTGTGTGGTGAATTTTAAGATGTAAAACAGTGAAAGTAGGAAAAATGGAGTAGGATAGAATTAAAATGGCCTTTATTGTGACAAAATATGAGTATATTAAATATAATGTCTCTTTAAATTGATCCAGACTGATGATTTTAGGGACACGGTCATTCAGTTTTCCTGGAAACAGGGCTTTTTTTGTCATAGAACTCCCAGAATGGAGTTCTGACACCTTTTTTGGATGGAACCTTGTAGGGTAGGCAAGGCGGGTTGTATGATGTGTGTGAGTTCGGCACTATTTTTTTTTTTTTTTACAAAAAAGCACTGGCAGACGATATAGAAATGATTTGCCATTCTCTTCTGGGATGTTTTTTGATTTCCTTATCTACCCTGTAGACAAAGTGAGCCATGTGCTGCTGATCTTCTAAGTTTTAAGACAGGCATATAAGCACTTCAAGGGCTTTCTTAGGTAATCTGTTAATGTTCAAAAGACACTTCTGCTGGAATTGCTGGCCTTGTCACAAATACCTTCCGGGCCTGCCTGGAAGGGTCCTGAAATAGCTGTGCTGAATCGTCAGTAGGATATAGCAGCCATGATCCTTCAAGAAGAGGCACTATGGTTGCAGTCCTAGTTTGTGTGTGTAGAGTGTTTGGATTTGCAAAATTCACTAATAGAGAATGTTCTGTCCTCTCTCTGAACCATGCTGAAATTTAGCTGGACTCTACCAATCTGGATGCTGTTTGATGGCCTGGGCAGTTCACAACAGTTAAAGAAATTGCAATAAAATCAAAAGGTGACAGGTGAGACAGACTAGATGGGATGAAGTAAAAGGTCTTATTTTTCCTTGCCAAAGACCTCAGTGAAGAATTAGGTTTCACATTTATTCTGAATAACAACAGAGTAGGGTCCATCCAGATCTCAAAGAAAACATCAAGAGGGCAAGTGCCCAATCAAGATATTCAGAAGTGGAATTTTTTACATATCTGTATCATGCATTAATTTGAAATAATTTTATCTTCATTTCTTGCAGGGTTTTCAAAGGCAACTTGCAGATATAATTAAAATACAGTGTAAGACATGATTTTCAGTGTCACTTATTTTATAAAGAAATAAGAAAGCACATCATCCTGACAATTAAAAAACATGGTATATCTGGAAAAGCTATCTGCATTCTGTTTCTTGAATTAATTTTTACTTTGTATTCACAGGGGAAGATGTTTGGTCTTATGCAAAGGGGCTTCCTCATTTGTTCCAGCAGGGTGGCGTATTCTACAATATAATGAAGAAAACAATGGGTAAAATATATAATTTTATGTTAATGTATCTTTTCTACCATGCTGTGCTTTATATATTTAATACTTTGGTATTAACTACTTTAGACTGATATATCTAATTATCTGTATGCTAAGGTCCTTGATCTAGAATCAAAATCTGAAAAATGAATTCAAGTCAAGAATTGAAAAGGACATTGTGATAGAATTAAAATGGAAGACAAATGTACTGTAAAACATAAGGATCTGAAGACAGGATGTGCTGATATTATTTGGTAATAGGATTTACCTATCTATCACTTCCGCTATTGCTAAGGTGAGGGAGACTTTATACGTCTCCATAATAGCATATAATGTGCAAGATTGCATAAGCTGCAGGATAATATTGTCTGCTTTTTTTAGCCATATTGGTTCCTATCCATAAATATATTTGTCCACAAACTCATAAGGGAAAAACAGAAACTGAATTTGGTGCTAGTGTTGAATTTCCCTGATACCTTCCTCCCTCACTACTTTCTGACTATCTTTCCTCTGCTCAGGAAAGACGAATGAGGAATCCTTTTTTAGATGTTTTATTTTGATAATCTTCACTTTAATGGACAGAATTTATTAATTACAATTTGTCCATTTTCAATATTGCATATTATTGTCTTGTAGAGGTTTTCTAATCATATCACATATTCTTCATAGCCTCTTATTGAAGTATTAGTCTATCATTGTGTTCTTTCTGAAAAGTAAATATCACTATGAAAAAGATAAAATAGTAATTTATACTTATCTATTTTCTTAAGTCGGTGAATATTTGTTCTTGCATGTGTTGTACTTTTTATGCAAAATAGCCAAGCATAAAAACATAAATATGTATTTTTATATACACTTTGTTATGGCTATATAAAATTTCCAGGTTTAAAATCAATGAATGTTAAAGAGCAAATTCCACATACACATTTTACTAGAGCATTGGATCTTATTTAGTCAGTCTTCTATTCTTTTTCATTTTGTATTTTTGAATGTATTTGGGATATATAAATAATTATTTTTATATTTCATCATAAATTTAAGTATTATTAAAAGTCATAAATATGCATTTTTAATTACTCTTGCAGGTCTGGCTGATGGTGAACACTGTACTTTTCCACACTTGCCTGGCAAGACCTTTGTATACAATGCAACAGAAGATAGATTGGAACTTTGTGTGGATGCTGCTGGGCATTTCCCAGTAGGTTCTGATGTGGAAGACTTGGTTAAAGAGGCACTAAATCAAGTACGAGCAGAAGCTTCTTCAAGAAGCAGGGAAGCAAGTCCTTCACATGGATTGCTAAAATTAGGTAGTGGTGGAGTAGTTAAAAAGAAATCAGAGCAACTCCACAATGTAACTGCATTTCAAGGAAAAGGCCATTCTTTAGGCAGTGGAGCCAGTAGCCAGCAGCTTCATCCAAAAGTTAGGGAAGTTCCACTTGGAAGAAAACAAAACACAGGTACAGATTTTAGTACCAATTCTGCTAAATTGGATCCTTCCATGTATACAGGTGATTCTGGAAATAGTGAACTTATACGGATAGCTCCTGGAGTAGGAACAATGAGAGATAGTAGACAACTTGATCCTAATTTAATTGAGGCACAGCGGAAAAAATTGCAGGAAATGGTTTCTTCAATTCAAGCATCAATGGACAGACATCTGCGAGATCAAAATACAGAGCAATTGGCAACAAACGATTTTTCTCAAAGGAAATTAGAGGCAACAAGTTCATCAGTTAAAACAAAGAGCCCTCAAATGAGTTTAACTGAATCTTTTACTTTATCAAGTGGCAGTGGACGTTTGAATACAGAAATAACTGATAGTAACATATCAAATGCTTTGGGAGCACCATTCTCCACAAGATCAAAAACCCAGAAAGGAAATTCTGTTGAAGAACCTGAAGAAATGGATAGCCAAGATGCAGAAATCACTAATATAACTGAGCCAATGGATCATTCATGAAAAGTTTAACAGCTATATCAGTACAAGAGATTACTGTGCAAATGTAGTTTGTTGGCTGGACCACATTAATTTAGTCATTGAATCTTGTATGTTTCAAAGATTATATGTTACTCATTGCATGATAGCAAGTGTGTGATAGATAGTAACTTTTAATTTGACATACTGCTGCCAGGTTAGCTCTCAGTTACCTGTACATTAGTTATTAGGACAAGCACTGAGAAAAAAAAATATCTGCTGTAGTTGTGGGTTATTGCTCTCTCTCTTTTTTTTGTAATTTTAATTCCATTTAAGTCTTAATCCTCCAGCCCCTATAAAATCATTAAGATATTTTTTTAGTTTGATATGTGAAAATAAAACCTGACAATGCACTGTGTTTGTCAGATAGTGGTCCATATTTCATTAAACAACATTTGCTTATACTTGACATTTGAAATTAAATTTATATCTGTTAGATAAGTCAAAATGCTGAAGTACATTTACTGATAGTTCTTTAAAATTGTTAAGGAAGATATGGAAGATAGTATATAAGAAACATAAAATAAAGATGTCTGAGCTTTTCCTTGCTTTATTGGCAAGCAATAGTATGTTTGTTTTCAGTTGGTAAAGTACTATAGTATGTTTTTACATGGCAAAGACAATAAAATGCAAGCATTTAAGAACAGAATAATAAGAATTTGATTTGATTCAGGAACATTTTACAAGTAGGCATTGGTTATCTGTGTTCCCTATTAATGCTTCTTATGTTGGATTAATCAACATTCATCAGAGGTTTTTCAGTGAACTAATAAAGCTCCTTTTAAATTCCTTACACCTAGGACATACTTAAAACTTTTATTGTAATACACCACTTTAATTAAATTGGATCCACTTTAAGCAGCATGTTCATCAGATCTAATTTTTAAGAGACATTGTTTGCTCCAATAAAAGCAGATGTTTATATTGATACTAATATTGCACTTTTTGCCTCTTCACATATTTCTATTTATGTGCATTATTACTACTACATCTGATAAAAATAAACTTGAAAGAGTGAAAGACTATAGAAAAATATAGGAAATAAATCTTAGGTTCATAGTTATTGAATCCAATGCTTAGGCACATATGACTTTTTCTGTCTATAAATACGTTTATGATATAAATATTTGTACTCTTAAAGTATGTTTAAACTTTTTGCAATTACAATCACACAAAATTACTAAGGAATGCTATGATTAAATACCCCCCAAAGGGGAGGTATTAGTTTTTATGTGGGAAAGTTATTTAGAGATACAGTTGCCTCAGTTCATTTGAATATCTTATCCATTCACATACCATTTGTCTTTTTTCCTAAGAGGGAATCCAGATTTTATCTTCTATTACACTATTTGTATATAAAGCCTTCAAACCACACTTTCACAAATGAGTAATTTTAAATATATAATTTTTCTCTTTAAGAAGTAAAGTATGTCAGTATACAGTTTTAAAACTGATCCAGGCCATACAGAATAAGATTCCTGCATAATCAGAAAACTACTATAAACTGCTAGCAAATACACAACCAAGTGGACATGACACCAAGAGACCAGTTGTGCATTCATAAGGGATTCATAGGGTGAGAAGTATTTCTGACACAAGTTAAATCCATAATGAATTTCAAAACTAGCATGTAACAGAGTATAAACTGGCTGATATGATAAAAAAGCAGCAGTGCTTTTTCTGAGCAACGGGACATCAACACTGGATATCTTCAAAAACAAAATCTGGCTTCTGTCACATAATGCTTGGAATTATGGTGCTAGAGCTGTTGTGAAAAAAATACTTTGGCAATGTTAACATTTTCTTAGGTCTTACATTTCTAGGACTGGATAAAACAATGGCAATTTTTAATTGATTTGAATGTAAATTGTTAAAATAGTTTTGATAGTTTGGTGACTTTTTTGGTAATGAAGAGATGGAGTAATGATTCTAGGGAATAAATATGATCAGTATCACTTACTGAAAATTCATATGAATAGGATAAATTGTGAAGCTGGAGAGGCACAAGTGGCTTTTTAATTTTAATATGATTGGTATGACTTAAGAGTTAAGTATTCTTTCTTTAGAAACTTTTCTTTAGGGAATACTCTTAATTTTTTTTCTAGACAAAGAATACATTCTACATGTTTGTATCTTTTCCTTCATGTGACAATAATTTTTTGAAATGCCCAGTTTAAAAAAAATTAACTATTAAAGACTTAGGAGCTATGTGAATTTTTCTGCTGCATCTGTAAATGCTTGGTAAACATTACATATTAAGGTTTAATATTACAATGTGTACACAAAGTGTAGCTGATCCCTATCAAAGTTAATGAGACTGAGGTGCACAAATATATGCTCAAAACCATTGACTGTAATAGCATCTTGTTGCAGCTAAACTGCTGATTTTCAGTAAGCGTAAGTTCATATAACTTGCTGTAGTGTTGCCTGTTTCATGATTTAATCAAATATGAAAATAATTAATGGAGAAAAATGTTGGATCTGGCAAAAGAAATAGTAATGATGTCTGAACTGAATTTCCTTAAGAAATAAGTAGCATAGCTATATCTGTATCACAGTTTTCTTGAAGGGAATGATATCCAGTTTGATAACTGGAAGATCATGATTTTTTGAAGTCAGACTACCGTTCTTTTCAGGTTAAACAAATTTGTTATTAAATAGCAAAACCATTTTCTCTGTAAATAATAATATAAATATTAGTATAATAGAAGCTTGGCAGTATTCAGTGTACTGGTTTACTAAGAGAATAACCTCTGTGTTACCAGAGGGAAAAATGCAAATAAAAATAAAATGCATTTTAGAAATTGTTGGCATTAAAGCATTTTGCAGGTTTTAATTTAAATGTAAATGTATTTTATGATACATTATATCCCCTTACTACATTTCTGTATTTGTTGAAAACTAAACATAGACCATGTGCAATTAAAATAACATCCTATGTGCTGGACTATATCTTACTTCTTTAACTTCTGAAGATTTATATCTCATTATTTACAAGATAAAAAAAGTAACAAAGATTCCGATTTAAAAAAAATACAAAATATTTCTTATGTTCTATTTTTCTTCTGAAACTTTAAAAAAATCTAGTCAGCTGAAAATAATAGTATGTTATAGGAAATATGATATAGGATTTCCTGAGTTATGCTTTCTGTTCATTGTTTTAATAAAGAACACAAGAGCATTGCTATACTTTTGTTCTAATAATGCTATATGGAAAATGTAGCTTTGAAGATCAAAGTGACCATTTTTTCCCATCAGAAAATTTAATTATGATACAATAGTCTAGCAAAGTATTTTGATGATTGTTCCATCATATCCATATTCAGCTCAGCATACAACACATAAGAGCTCAATCTATACTGGTTTTTCTTTTAGATAATTTTGATATGCTGGTTGTTGGAACTTCATCAGTAGCCTGATAGGTGGAGTTGTGTATTCAACAATATTTTTTCCAATAATTTTATTAATATCTCATAGTCTTTTACATTTTAAGGTGCTGCATTTAAAATTCTTTAAGTCAGAATTCCTGCTTTGCCTGTGATTGTAGCAAAAGATTGAACTGTAACTGATATTTTTAGATTTTATTTTATTGAAGATTATTGCCAGAAAAGAGTGCACTTTTGGAAATAATTGGATTTCTAAAAAATGTATATTAAGCATCAGCACTGTATATATTTAGGATATCTTTTAAAATGGCAAGTGCTTTACATATTGAATTAAACTAGAGTAGTAATGATACCATGTTCACAATGCTGGCCATTCAGCACATTTGAATTTTATTTGTGATTGCTGTACTGATTTTTTTTAATTTGTAATGTAATAATAGTGTATTATAACAGTGTATTATATTACATTTTACTGTACAGTATTTTGAATTTCCTTTGATTGCAATATTAAAAATCTAAGCCAAACGAATCTTTCCTAGTCCTTGTATCAAGTTACTGTTACTGAGGTGATTATTACAGGCCAACTTTCCCTGCCTTTCATCCAGGCAAATTCCTTTATATGGGGAGATGGGGGTAATAATGCACCAGTGGCATGCCTTTGTTAAACAGAACTGCATCTCTTTCAAAACGTTTCAGCTGTTTCTATGTTTCAGAATGCCAGTTATTTAGGGACATTTTAATTTGGAACTTTGTTAGTTGGACAATATAATCACATGTATTATTTTAAATTCATATACATTATAGATTGGAGAGAATAGAGGTATACACAAAGAAGTTGGATTAGTATAACTTTTCAGAGGACTCTGTTGATGTGTGGTCAAAAATGGGCCTGTGGATTTGTTCGTCTAGGTATATATCCTGCTTTTCTTTGAACTTGGAGAAATGTACCTAAAGAACTTTTAGACTGTCTCCACTCAGAGAATATTTGGCTGATCTTAAATTTAACTACCTTCAATAATAATAGAGTAATATATTGAATACCTCATCCTACATATGAAGAATATGTGAAAGAAATCGCAGGTTCTTGAGCTAAGGGGATAAATTGGGCTATGAGCCATTGTATAACATCTTATTAATGGAAATTGGAGGTGGAAGGTTTTTTTGGGTTTTTTTGATAATACTTTTTAAATTTTTTTTTTGTATGATGTCCTGAGCCCAAAGAAATAAAAATAGACATATAATCCTTGACTAACAACCAGTGATGGGATTCAAATAATTTAACAACCAGTTTTCTGCCCTACTGACCATTTTAAGTATTAAAAAAATGATATACCGAAAATTAATTTATTATTTCATGCATTTAATACTTAAATAAGAACAATAAAAGAGCTACACAAAACTAGATTGTTATAAGAAAGAGTTTTAAAATATTAATGAAAAAATATTAAATAATACCTGACAAAAAACAATAAAACTTAAAGATATTTTCATATTGCTTCTTGACTGGTGTCCTCACCTGCAATTTTCTTCGCTTTTATCCAAGCATCATCGGCTGTGTGATTTATCCTTAACCATTTTTTCACTGTAGGAGTAAGATCCCATTCCTTTAAAGGTAGGCTGATTAGACTAATAGTCATTGTGTTTGATATATTAGAAACAGGTGACTTCTTTTCTCTGAACATATTATGTTCATCTTTGAAAAACTCCTTTCTGCTTCTGCTGAACTTACAGCAATTGTTCTGACAATATTTTTAGCTCTTTGAACACTTTCAGGAATTGCATAGTTTTGGGAATTTTGGGAATCTGGACAGGAGCCCACCACCACTGCCGCCATGACCAGTCCAGAAGGCCGGGCGCCACCCAAGCCTTAAAGGTCTCCCCTGGCAATAAGCCACCATCCCTGGAGACGGGGGCAGGCTCTCCCCATGCCACCCACTGCTCAGTGCGCAATCAGGCTGAGACTGAGATGGCCAAGGGGACAGGGCTTCTGGGCTAGTGGGCCCTCTCATTGGGAGGTTGGAGCCTCCATCAACTGGGCACCCTTCAATCCATTGGCTTTGTGATTTGGGCCGGCCAGGAGGCACAAAAGACGGAGTCTGCCTCGCAAAGGGATGGGAATTAAGGGGCTGGGACACCAAAGCCCATAACTGCTTTGCTGAACTCAACAAAAAATTAGATGTCAATTCTGCCGAACTGATGTGAACCAGCTGAATCCCATCACTGCCTACAACCATTCTTTCAGCAATCCTTCAAAGTTACAGCAGCATTGAAAAAGTCACTTTTCATTGGACTATCACAGTGTCCCAACAGTCACGTGATCAAAATTTGGGCAATTGCCATGTTTTTTTGATGGTTGCCATGTCCAGGGGTTATGTGGTTTTTTAATTTGGGATCTCTTTCCTTCTGGTTTACAATAAGCAAAATTAATGGAGAAAGCTGGATTTATTTAAAGATGTATGATTAACTTAACTACAGTGATTCACTTAACTCTGGCAAAAAAAGGTAAATTAACTTGTTTAACAACTGCCTCGCTTAACAACAGAAATTCTGATCCCAATTGTAGGGGTTTGTCAAAGACTATCTACTTATAAGTGATACTGTTTAACAGAGATACATATTATTTGTAGGAAGATGTACTCAATGATTAATTTTATTTCACATGTCTATAGCAGATGCTTTTTGTGAAGAATAATGTATTTGTCAGTGATGTACTGCAATATTAAAATGCTTAATTAGCTTTCAAATCTAATTTGAGACATGGAAGGTCATTAGTGTCTTTAGGCTAGCAAATTAAAAGGTATCTCTGCTTATCAAGAAGCAAATGAAGGAATTGATAACTTTGCTATTTTAGAAGCAAAGGCAAATATAAATTCTTATTCCATATAAATAATATTTAATGTTAATATTTATGTCAATTATGTATTCCAGTATTTGAGGGGCTGCCACAAAGAAGAGGGCGTCAAACTATTCTCCAAAACACCAGATGGCAGGACAAGAAACAATTGTTGGAAATTGATCAAAGAGACAAGCAATCTGGAATTAAGGAGAAACCTCCTAACAGTGAGGACAATTAACCAGTGGAACAGCTTGCCTCCAGAAATCATGGGCGCTCCATCACTGGAGGTTTTTAAGAAGAGACTGGACAGTCACTTGTCTGAAATGGTATATGTTCTCCTACTTGAGCTGTGAGCTGAACTAGAAGACTTCCAAGGTCCCTTCCAGCTCTATTCTTTCTATGTATAGCCCTTTCACAAAAGAATTCTTTCTAACAATTTCTGAGTAGACACAAAGGCCATCACCTAGTCAGTGAGTATGTAAGAAAGATCCTAAGAGTAAAGAGAAAAGAAAACATGTAGGTTTACTGTACTCAACACTGTATATATGTTGACTTCAGCATCATTGATGTACTTCCTTTAAAAAAGAAAAGTATTATGCTAGCAAGGGGTTAACACTAGCCTAGTTAGAAATTTCATGTCCATCTCACCCTGTTGCCTCAGAATTGATGTAATAATTTTTAACCAATGTTTTTTGCAATGTACATAAAATTATAGATTTACCGACATGTATAGGCAGATAATTTTTAAAAACTCAGAATATTTTTTAAACTATCCTCTGTATTAGAAATATTGCAACTGCTCAATCACATACATGATAACTGGGTTTCTAGACATATGTTTTAGGAAAAGCAATCATTTTCAATGGGCGAATTTTAGGTAGTGTATTTCAATTATCTTTATTTGTTCCTAAATAACAATGGAAACTAGACAGTTTTTTTATTCGAAAAAACAGCTTTTGTTTTGTATATCTGCTTTTAGAAAGACAAGAAAACGGATCTTCTTAAAAATATACGTTATGGATCTGGGAATTGTGCCGCACAGTTTTGAAACAAACAGCCAAATCGACTGCTTTATCTGAGGCTGCTTTATTTGGCTCCCAGTCTTAAGAGCGGAAAGGATGAACTGAAACCAGGGAAATTTATTTCGGTGTACATGCCTAGATTTAGGATCATACGTTTCTACGCTCGCTGGAAAACAAATCTCGTCGAGTTCAGTGGCTGATCAGTGTTAACGTTGGAACTGAAAGGTTGAAAGCTTCACAGGGAGGATACATAATGATCGTCAGGAAATATATTTTCAGATACCACAGAATAGGGATTAAAGACACAGCTGTATCTGTTGCCTTATGTTAAAACTTTATCTTCAACGTCATTACTGCAAACACACATCTATATATCAGGCATTAACAAAAGTATTCCAAGTTCCTTCGATAGCTCAGCTGGTAGAGCGGAGGACTGTAGAGGCGGCATTTCGCAGGAATCCTTAGGTCGCTGGTTCGATTCCGGCTCGAAGGAGGCTTATTTTTCTTTCCATTTTTAGATTTTAAACTGATGTTTCAGATTAATAAGACTTTTGTATCCTCACGGATAAAAAATAGCGTTTATTGAGAAAACATACTTTAACATTGAGCGGTTCCGTTTAAACAGCCAGCATAAGAAGCCGAACCGGAAATAAGCCAAAAATGTGCCTCTGCTTTTTCTTTTAACCAGTGTGAGAAAAGGGAGAGAAAATAGCACGTTCGCTAACGCAATACGCTGCCCGCGGGAAACACGTGGAAACTCTCGTTTTCTCTAGCCCTCGGTGAGGCAAGGACTCACATTCCCAGCAGCCCTTGAGCTTGAGCCCACCAGTAGCTCCTCCTACTTTGCCAAGCTCTCCAGTATCCCGCCACCTTTCTCCTCTTACTGGCCGTTCCCCTTCCTCCCTCGCCCAAGCTCCCCCGTTTGGTCGCGTGCTTTCTGCAGCAGCCAATGGGGTGTCAGTCCGCGTGCGCAGATTCAAACGGTGGCTCCGGACAGAGGCTGGGCGCGAGATTCGGCGGCAGGGTCGAAAAGGAAAAGAAAAAACAACAACAAAATCCCAGTGAGCTCGGCGGCGCCTCTGGAAAGCGTTCGAGGCGGAGGACCGAGCAGCGGCAGCCGGACAAGGGCCCCGCTCGCTTAGTCCCCGGTCCTTTCGCCTGCCGTTTTTGGCTGGGTGTCGGCCATGCCCCCGATGCGGGGAACGGTGAGGGGCCGGGGCTAAAAAGCAGTGCCGCCCTCCCCGGACTCCCCTGTCGGGCATAGCCCGACGGCTTCCATTGAGCGAGTGCTCCTGGCCGGGGGTGCCATCCCCGTTCCCCTCTGCTTGCTTTATGGTACACGCAAAGGATGGCGAAGAGGCCGCGCAGGTGAGTGACCCCCTATACCTTCCCGCTCGCCGACTTGGCATCTTCCATGCTCGGCTCTGCGTTTCCCTCATTTTCCGCCGCGGGATAGCCCATCCCACAGGATCACAGAAGGTTTCTGCTGCCGCTTCCACGTGCCCTAGCCGAACAAGCCCATGTATTGTTCTCACTTACGCCGTGGTTTAAGGTTTTGTTATGCTGCGTTACACAGTGTGAAAAGATGGTCCTGCTTCATCTATTCAGTTATTGCTAAATTTTCTCCTATATATTTAAATATGGGAGTATATAAACAAAATAATATT